AAAATATTATTATATTCAAAATGGAAGGCAAGACTCCAAAAATCATCATAACATAGCAAAATATATTGTCAGTTTACACTATAGACACTGAATCCAATTAATCGTTATTAAGCTACTTAGCTCAGTTATCAGTTCTTTACTTCTTGAAAGTTCTCAAAGCAAACCAAAATTTTCGAAAAATATCAGAACGGAATTCACAGCACAATAAACCTTCACGGTCTGAAGGCTGTAATCTTTTGATAGTTTTAGCTGATCAAACGGCGGTTTTCGAACCTATCAAATAAAAACCAGACATACTTTTTATTGTCTTCGGAACATAAATGTAATAATGACAGAAGTTTCAAAATCACGCTGCAATGGGTTTTTTAAGTTAGAAATTTTTAGTTACTATCATTTTCGAAAAGATGCTATAGAATATCAAAAAGCGACCTAAACAACCGAATTCAAATTTATAATCAAATATTGATTTATAATCAATTGTTCTCCCCTCATTATCACATCGACTTTACGTCAAAGTTTCAATAAAGGTGCATCCACACCAAAACGAACATTCACAGGTAATCGTACCTGCAAAAGTGTGGATGCACCTTAAGCAATGTATTGTCCATCCATTCACAAATATGGAAACTGTCGTCTTAGTATAATTTTTCAAAGTATTAAACTGTTTACTCTAAAAACTATTTCTAAACGAAAGTTTATCATCATTGCTATAATCTATAATATTGTCTTTTTATGCAACAGAGAAATGGCATAGCACAACGAAAATTATTTTCCTTTCATTTTAAAAAGTATAAGTATTAGTTAAAAAAAAATAATTTATTTTTTGTTTTACTATATTTAAAACACAGTAAATCTTGTACATTGCTTAAAAAATACGCTTATAGTAAAACGTAAACCGCTTAAGCAGAAGTGGTTGCGGCAGCTGGGGTAGCAGAATCAGCTGCAGCGGCTTCTTCCTTAACACGATCCTTCTTAAGTGGACCCATGAATGCCAACTTATCGGCTGGTGTTTGGAAGCGACCATGACCCATTTTAGATGAAGTATCGATGAACTTGAGTTTGATATTTTCCAAAGCGGAACGCTTGGTATGTTTCAACAAAGATTTACGCAAGGTGATCACACGTTTCTTTGAGCCAATACAGCATCCCTTAAGCATAACGAAATCATTGTTGACTTCACCGTAATGTGGGAAACCACCCATGGGTGTAATGCTCTTGTCAGTTAAATCGTACTCAGTGGAGGCATTGTTCTTGATAACCTGCAATTAATAAATTACATTTAATATTATTGAAACTGTTTAAATATTTTATTTAAATTTATTTAAATAATTTATATTCAGTCCTATCATTTTGTTATCACGTGGTAGTCAAAAAAATTAAGTTTTTGGCTCTTAAATGATTTATCATCAACTAAATCCCAAAAATTTTTTTCTATTAACGTGGAATTTTAACTTACTTTGCCATCCTTGGTGTGTATGCCAGCACCAATACGGTAGATCTTCTTGTTGATTTCTGTACGATGATGGTAACCCTTCTGACCGGCACGTGCAACGGTGAAGGACACACGAGATGGATGCCAGGCACCAATACAGGCAACCTTACGCAAACCCTTGTGCGTCTTGCGTGGCAATTTCTTTGTATGCCAACGTGCGGTTACACCCTTGAAACCTTTACCCTTGGTGACACCAATGCAATCGATCATTTCATCTTGTCCAAAGACATTGCTGACTAAGATGGGCTTTTCCAAATGTTCTTTAACCCATTTCACTTTATCTTCAATTGAACCACCGTTCAATTGAATTTCCATGATGTGTGCCTTCTTTTGGCGTTGTTTAATCAAACGAATCTACACAAAAAAAAAAATACAAAATTAATTATAAAAGCAAGTGACAAAGATTCAGACATATTTTAGTTAAATTGTAGAGACTGTTCGTGATATGGTTTAACTGCGCGATCAAGGCCTAAACGACTACGCACAGTTAGTGGAATATATCAAGATAAGCCACCCGAAGGGCAATTTGTTCTGCGACGTTGCAGTTTTTACAGTGCATTGAAAACACAGCCCAACCGCTTTTTAGGCACACTCGCTCAAGGCACACCATGCTCATCCGAAAACAAACAGGCACGCCAAGTGCAAATGTACCAAGGACGTCGCATTTTTTAAATTCCTAAATTAATATAATTATTATGAATATGCATGCTTACCTGAGAATGAGCAATGACGCGGATGACTTTGCAGTAGCGGAGCATCTTACGGAAATCGTTTTCAATGCTCTTCTTGCCCAATTCGTCAGTCCATTTCTTGCTGGCCTTGGTGTGGGCCTTCTTCTTGGATTTGTACCTGCACAATAGCGATTTCAAAGAGAATTCTTAATATGATTTTTATGTGAGACGCAGAGCAGACAATTTAACAGCAAATCCTCATGTGACTTTCAACTTAAATTTTCTAATGTGCGATGAACATAAGCTCCATTGGTGTATGCCCGACACGCAACTTCTTTGCCTTTTTGCTAGGTAGACGCGGCGATAACTTGCTTTTGAAATAAAAGAAAGCAAAGGAAGCAAACCTCATCGCAATTTCAAGCGAGCGGAGATTAAATCTTCCATGCCGTGCTCACGGTACTGATACAGAAAATTCGCCAAAGTTTAAACTCATTAAAGAATTTAATTTAACAAATTTCTATGCTCACACGACAATGAAATATTTTGAAAGTTCTCTCAGAAGACTGATCGAAGAACTTTATGATTATATTTTAAGTTTAATTAAGTGTACAATAATTTATAAAACAAAAAATAAATGTAAATGCTTTGAAAACTTAAAATTTTGTATACTGATTTTAATCAGAAGGAAGGCAGGCAGATGGTAATAATTTTTTATCTACACTAGTATTTCTGATACCATCTATCATCATCCAAAATCGTATACAAATTTAAATCTAAAAGCGCTAAGTAGTTTTCAAGGCACACAAAGAATACAAATGGTGGCTTAATAATTAAAGCAAACTTACCAATTCTTGTAGAAACGACGACGGCACTCTTCGGACAAATGCTGTGCCCAAACATTTACCAAGGCACGTAAGCCGAAAGGTGTTTCAATGTAACCAACAGCACCAACAACAATCATTGGTGGTGTTTCCAAAACGGTAACAGCTTCAACGACCTCCTTCTTGTTAATCTCTGCAAAGTAACACAAAAAAAAAAAGAAGAGAGCAGATTAGCACGTGGTCCACACACATGTTTAAATTAAAATATTTTATTATAATAATCAGTCCGCCCTAGTTGTTTTAAAATCATGGTTGTTCATTTAAATAACCATAAACATTTTCAAACTTTCTCTCATCATTAAATTATAATAGAATATCTTTTTAACATCGACGTAGAAAACTTACTTGAACCAGGACGATCTGCTTCACGAACAACATGTGTCATACCGGCTTTGTAGCCCACAAAGCAAGTTAAATGTACTGGCTTGGATGCATCATCTTTAGGGAAAGCCTTAACCTTACCACGATGGCGACGTGAGCGCTTCTTGGGGTAGAAGGCCATGGAGCCATGGCGTGGCGCGGAGAATTTACGATGAGACTGTAAAAAAAACAATGTTAATTTTTTGTAAATATCTTGAAATTAAATTAAATCTCAAGTGCAGATGATTTTAAATTTTATGACTGTATTTTACAATAATCTGACTATTTCACTTTAAACTAAAAAAAAAAAAAAATGAGGTTATAGGCGGAAACAAAATGGCGATTACACGTGTTGGAAAAAATTTACAATCACCTGAATTGATAAATATTTATACACTTAATATCTTCATATAATCTACCAATTAAATAATTATTAAATGCAATAAGAAAGTTTTCCCATCACATAATTTAACAACTATTTAATATAAATTTATCTTTCAAACACTTTTTATATCTTACCATTCTTTAGATATTTACGCACGTCTTCACTGGTCAGACGACGTTGAAAGAAAGAAAGTATTAACGAAAAATCTGCAAAATACGAATTAAAGTAGACATGGCGTCTGTGTGAGTTTGACATTTCGTGTAGTTTGACATTTTTAAGCAGCCCATACCTGAAGATAATGAATGAGCATATCTAATTATTTTAACACTTAAATTTATAGTTCATGGTTTAATGAATTCTAAATAGTTCATGAATTAGTAAACAATTAATGAATAGTGACAAAATTGATTATTAAAAACGTCACAAAAAAACAAAAAAAAAAAAATTCATGAATCTTATATTTTTCGGCTCTATAAATAACTGTTATTCTCAAATAGAATATTCGCAAAATATTTCCAATGTTTTAAATTTATATTTTATATATAATATAACTAAAAAAATCGCTTAAAAGTATATATAAATGAAAAGTATATATATAATAGAATACAACACAATTGTTGTAGTTCTTATGGAACACGATTTATATACTTTTGGACGGCGATGCATTTTGAAACAGCACAAGATAATTTGATAATATCACAAGGCCTTTTCTTTTGTAAGCATGTCGCAAAAGAACAAATAACATAAGCACTTCTTTCGATGGCAACTTTGGACAAAATGGAGATTTTGTTAGGGTTATATTTACAAAACACGTAATAAAATTTAAAGTTAAAATTACGAAAATAAATAACAATTCTTTGCAATTATTGGTGAGAATATTTTTTTTTACTTGATTGTATATAAAGTATAATTTTTTAGGCCTTTAACAGAAAAGTAATAAATGGAAAAAAAATAACGTATTTATTACGAACAATGACGACACGAAATACGAATAATTAACGAATTCATTCGTTGACAGTTAATTGGAAATTTCGTAGGTACTTTCAAAAATAGTTCAAAATACACAAATTTTTAGTCTTGGGAACCATGTGATTTGAGCTACTTATTTGTAAAGCAATTTCAAAATCAAGTCAGCAGAATTGTTGTTTCATATGTCATTTTTAAAATAAATAGTTGTTCTTTTGTAATATGCTTACAAAAGTAAAGGCCTTCAGTTAAATTGTATAAAATAACGTCTTATATGGCGTTTAGACTGGCCGTAAGTGACTCATTTAAAATCAGTCATTTGAAAATGTTTACATTCATTTGTTCTCCTTTCAAACAGCTGCTTTATCAACGTGCCTGTTGATTTGATTTTTGACCTGTGCCAAAAAATGTTGGATGAAGGTAAAATATACCTTCAAACCTCACAATATAAACTTATTTTTAGCTTCGAAGTTTCAAAAAAGGGTGATTCGTTTTCAAGGAAATACAACCACCAAATATTTGTTTATCTTTTTTTGTGAATATGTCAAAAACAGCTTTTTCAAGCTGTCAAAATGTAATGAAAAACTATAGTTTTGAACTTTAGTGTGTTCAATATAATCATTTATATTTGGAACTCATTTGAAACTCGTTGCAACTCATTTGTACAAAATGAGAATCATTGCGCAAATGTGAAATTCATTTGCTCATATGTGATTTTGAATGTAGAAATCAGTCATTTGTTTCTCATTTATAGATTTTAACTCAAATCAATCTTTTGAGGCCAGTGTAAACGCCATATAATTTTAAAGTCACATTTTTTAATATTTTTCAAAATTACAGATTTTGTTTTTTTTTAGTAGAAATTTTTTTTAAGTAATCGTGAACAACATTATTCTTTTATACTTAAGGAATCTTTTATTTTTTCTGCCAAATATGTATAAACAGTGATTTTTTTTAAAACATTACAAGAATATTTAAATATACGTAAATAATATTTTTAGACTGCAAGTACCAAATATGGAAACAATTACTGCAAAAATGAAGTATTTTTATTTATTTTCTGTATTGATCTTAAAAGTGGTATATAAAATTTACTCCATTTAAATTGATCACACTTACAAAATATACAAACGCCATTTAACGCCAATTAGTATATGAAATTTATAGATTAAGGCCGTGTGCGAATGAATTGATGGTAAATTGAGGGAAATAGTAAATTATGTCGGTATGGCAGCGAATGTTAGAATTTACCAAAATTCGAGTAGGGTAAATTAGACAAAAAGTAAATTTAGTAAATCGTGAAAATTTTATACTATTTTTAATGAATAAATAAATAAATAATAAATAAATGAATAAACTTTTAACTAAAAATAATAAATAAGTGCAATAAATAAATATGGTATATACATAAGTGCAGTGCAAAAATATTTTAAAAATTTTAATTTACTTTACCACAATTTGCTCAAACTCGCACAAGGTCTAAATAAACTTATATCAAGCTAACGCGCCAAAAAGCGTTTCTAATGGGAATAGCTGAGAAATCGGAATGGTATTGATGTATATTGGAAATTTTCATCAACAAAATCACTTTTTATTGTTGATTTTATTTAAGTACCTATACAAGATTATGGTAAGAAAATCCTTGTATGGTATTTTATGCTCTGATAGATTAATTGCTGCTAAGCCTTTTGCATTCTAATGTCTACCTTGCCCTTGATTACTGGAATAGGGTTTCAAGTCTAGACTTTTACGGTTTTAAAAATCTTGCAGAATAGTAAGATGTTTCGAAATTATTAATTTTTAAGAAATTTGTTAAAATAAAATGATAATAATTATCATAATTTTTTAATATTGAACATTTCTTGTACGTGTGGAACCCAGTCGAGTGTTACCATCACGAAAAGTAATTAGAAAATTTTGTATTAGTGCAAAAAAATTGTGTGAGTTTAGGCAACTCCATTAGGATTTTTGTAAACAAATTATAATTTTGAATAAAAAAGTAATTTATTTTTATTAAAACAAAAAACTAATTTCTTTTTCATAAAATGTTTTCATCACAACAGCAGTTAAAAAGAAAAACACCAGCAAATGGCATAAATAGACGAGAGTTTATTGAGCATTTAGTGGAAGAATACCATACAACAACAAACATTGGTATTATGCATATTTTTTTTGTTTTGTGTTGTATAAAAAAAATAGCAATTGAATTTTTATAATAGAAGCGAAGGAGCAAGTAACTGCTAATTTAGCTAATTTTGCATATGATCCTATAAACTGGAAGTACTTGAAGGACACAAAAGCTTTGTATGTGTTTATGGAAGTCATTCCCTTGCCAAACGAGCGACTACAGTTGCATGCACTTGCCGGATTGTGTAACATATGCTTAGGTATTTAGTGACGTCTTCAAAATATTTTATAAAATTAAATTAAGTTAAATATTAATTATAGATGCACAAGCAAAACGATTTATAACAAAAGAAAGCAGTTTTACAGCGTTAACTAAATTATTTCTGGAGACACAAAATAGTGAAATAATAATTAATTTTATAACACTTTTTCATCAATTGCTTACTGTGGAAAAGACTGACTCTGAATTAAAACAAATTATAGCAACTCCTGATATACTCAAAAGAGTAATTAATTTACGTCAGCAAACGGCGGATCAAAGAATAAAGAATCTTTGTATAATATTTTTAGAAGATTTTGGTAGCAGAATAGAAATTCATGAATTACCTACTATTAGTAAACCAAATGTTAATATTACGGAGGTTTTGCAGTCAAACAGCGTTGAAAACTGCTGAAGCAGTACTTGTGAGAAATTTCACACAGGATGATTTGAATAAATTTTCAGAATTTACCGGTGATTTTAACACGATACATGACATATCAACACCACCTGCTGAACGCAGAGTACATGGTGCTTTACTAAATGCTGTTATTGCTGGCATAATAGGTACAAAATTACCTGGTCCAGGTACCGTTGTGTTGGAACAAAGATTTAAGTTTTTGAAACCATGTCGCATTAATGTGGACACAGAGTTTCGCGTACGTCTATTGGAAAAACGTAAAATATCAATGGTAGAATATGAAGCAAAGCAATTGAATGAAACCGTATTGGAGGGGAATGCGAAGTTACTCTTAAAAAATTAATAACGCATATGTGTATTTTGTTGAATATATTTCTTAAATAAATTTATTTTAATGTAATTAAAACTTTTAACTTTATTTCTTTTGTGCACGTTTGCCTTCGCCCTTTTTAGGTGCCGCTTTTCCCCGAAGTTTTCTTACTCGTTTCATTTCTTCTTTGAAATCTTGATGTTCATCGCGGAAGAGACCATAAGCACGTAGATTTTTCATCAGGATATGGGTTTCTACATGTCTAGGATACCAGTTGACCACATAGTCACGCTTGTGTATGGGCTCTTCGGCGTACATACGTACCACTTTCATAGATTTAGGGTTCGTTTCTCGTGCGACTTCACCAAATATACGATTGGAGAGATAATTCATGCGTCTAGCATATTGTGTACCCAATTTTATCAAATCACCATACTTGTATCCAGACATTATGAGTTTTGTTACAGTTTTTAATTAAAAACAATATTAAATAAATACATTAATTATATTTTTGTTGGTTATGTCATAACATCTGTATTATGTCAAAGTCTGTTTACAATATATTTAATGCAATGTTGCAACATTTCACCTCTAAATTATAAATATTCTCAGCGATACAGAAAGTCTTTTTGTCATATTTGTTGTATTGTGTTAAAATATCGAATATATATTTTAAAATTATTTACTTCCAATAATGTCTGCGATAAGTATATATGTATATATTTATTTACTTAATGTATGCATTTTAAATGTACTATGCACTTTCCTTGCACAGAAAACATCACAAATATAATAGGTTTGTTTCACGAGCTACTCGTAGTAGTAAAATACAACAACTGAGAGCATAACACAAGTAAAGTGCCAAATTTCGCTCTTTACACAGATTTTTATGGAACAGCTTTGTGTAAAGTCTAGTGAGAACACCAGTACTACACAAATAAACAATACAAAAATTTAATTCAAACCAAAACAGCTTATTTACACATCAATACAAATTTTACTTGAAATAAAATGTACTAGTAAAGTCTGTGTAATATTTTCAAATTTCGATAGGGATGTTATACTCTCTCAGATGCTCTCATTTACTGGAACAGTTGCTGGTGGAACGCACTTGTGTATACACAGTGTTGCACAAAATTACTACAATTAGCTCGTGGAACAGATCTACTATTTGTGTATATAATTATAATAGTCTTAATAATTTTTAACAACTTAATTGTTGAACAATAATTATAATAGGGGTATTCAGGCAACTGATTAGTTGCTTAGTAGTTGATCACAACAAAAATTTGCACACAAAAATGAAACTAAGCAGAGAATCAACTATTTCGGTGATTCTCAGATTAGTACAAATTTGATTAATCGTGCTACCAGTACCAAGTGTCGTAATAATAACTTAAAATGAATTTTAGTATAGAAATTTGTTAGCTATCTCATTTGGTGTTCACTTTTGCTGTTGATGGGAGTGCTGCCAAGGCATTTACCCACAACAAACTAATCAGTTCAAGCAACTGATTAACATCAAAATGCTAAATTTTTTTTATATGAAGTTTTTGTATCAACTAAGCAACTAATCAGTTGTCTGAATACCCCTAATGTTAGTACCAAAATAATTTACATCCAAAACTCAAAACAAATATGTTTTTATAAACCACCCGTTAAGCGAAATGAGAAAGCCAAATATACTTTTAAATAATTCATTTCAAATGAGACATTTTCAACCGGTGTAAGCAAAATATAAGCAATCAAGCAATTTAAGATATATAGCTTTTTAACTGTAAAAATATAGTGAACGTCTGTCTTAATGCTTCTATCTCGCATACTCTTGATTTGTTATTTCTCTGTATGCGACACCAAAATATGTTTTATCCTGTTTCTATATGATCACTATAATTTACAAGTTTGGAATTAATTTATATTAATTAATTTCTATTAATATTATAATATATATTTTGTATTACATTATTCAAATCTCTACATAGAATTGTAAAAAATGTGTTAATAAAAACATTTATATATTTTCTATATTATTTAAAGTATGTGGCATCCCTGATATTTTCTGCAAAATGTCAGAGTCATATGCTTTGGTGAAGTGACAACATCAACTAGTTCAATGACGTTTCTACGAAAAAAGTTGTATTTTTCCAAAATAAATAAATAAATTGCGTAAATTTTAAAAATTTGACGGAATAGAATTGTGTATATATATAACAAAAACTGTATATGAAAAATTATTATATAAGTTAAAATAGTAAAATATAAGATAAAATACGAAAATGTTTCGCAGTCGTAGTTGGTTTGGTGGAGGGTGGAATCGCCCTAGAAATCGTCTTTCATTGGATCATCTAAAATACTTATATGGAATATTAGAAAAAAATACTACCGTATCAGAAAGTAATCGTAGCTTGTTGGTGGAATCGCTGCGTTGCATAGCTGAAATATTGATATGGGGTGATCAACATGATTCTTCAGTATTTGAGTAAGGAAATATACGATTTTTTGTTTCCAATTTATATAATTATATTAATATTTGCTCATTTTCTAATTTTATAGCTTTTTCTTGGAAAAAAATATGTTATTATATTTTTTGAATATAATGCGACAGAAAAGTGGTGGTTCGAGTTTCGTTTGCGTGCAACTTTTACAAACGTTGAATATATTATTTGAAAACATTAGAAATGAGACGTCGTTATGTAAATATAAATAATTATTTTAATCAGTATGTATTCTATGTTAATACGTAATTTGTTTGTTTTCATATTAGATTATTTGTTGAGCAATAATCATGTAAATTCTATAATTGTGCATAAGTTCGATTTTTCCGATGAGGATGTTATGGGCTATTATATTTTATTTCTGAAAACATTGAGCTTGAAATTAAATACACACACAATACATTTCTTCTATAATGAGGTAAGTATTTTTTTTATATGTATTTCTATGGTATGAACTAAATATTATCCACAGCATACAAACGATTTCCCGCTGTATACAGAAGCAATAAAATTTTTCAATCATCCAGAGTCAATGGTGCGTATTGCAGTGCGTACGATATCTCTAAATGTTTATAAAGTACAAAATGCCAGTATGCTGCGATTTATAAGAGATAAGTATGTTATATGACAATAAGTGTTTATAATAAAAAATGATAGCAATAAGTTTTAATAGAACTGCAGCGCCATATTTCAGCAATTTGGTGTGGTTCATCGGCAAACATATATTAGAGCTGGATACCTGCGTACGCACAGATATTGAGTAAGCATTAAAAGATATTACAAAGTTAAAGAGTTTTAAAATTTTACAATAATTTCTTTCAGTCATCAATCAAATCAAAAACTCTCAAATTTGTGTGCAGAGCATTTGGATCATTTACATTACCTTAATGATATTTTATTATTAGAAATCGATGATTTAAATGCCGTATTAACTGAACATTTACTACATAAGCTGTTTGTGCCACTGTATATATTTTCATTGACACCAGCGCCAGTACCACCGTCTCTGGCAGTTGTAACACAAAATTTAGCAGCTGTGCTGAATCGCAATGTTGAAATCGACATACAAGAAATAAACAATCCACGTGTCTCCTCAATCGTAGCATTGTATTTATTATCTTTAGTGTTTTTGGTTGTGACACATGCGCCTTTAGTGCATGCCTTGGCTTGGGTAATACTAAACGGTGATCACAGTGTGTTTACGGAAGGGGCAGCTGAAATACTCAACGCCTATGTCGAGCATCGTGAGGCTGTGGTGCCAAGTTTTGCTGAGCCACGTGAAAGTCTGGAAGAGGCTTTAGACACTGTTGTTGGTACAAACACAACAGCATATGCATTGGCGGAAGAGTCATTGGAAGAGACTGCTAGTTCTTCGACTTCTTCAGCATCTCCTATTGCAACAGCTACAAGTACGCCACCGCGCAGAAATATAGCAATAGCTAATGTAAACGGTAATAGTGATGCGACAGATGTTAATGCCACAACAGCATCAACAACGGAAGAAACTGCATCTGGTTCTAACACTGTTATACAGAAAAATAAGTTTGCTAATATAACAGATGAAGAGAAAGAAAAACTACAGCAATTGAATACTATACAAACTGTACCTGAAATTAAACGTCCATTTTTAGATATGGTATTATCCGCTTTAGACTGTGCAGAAAATGATTACTTGGCACTATTAGCATTGTGCCTTATCTATGCTATGGCCTATAATCGAGGTAGTACTTTTTTTTTTATTAACATACATTTAAACCAAATCATTTATAACTGTTACACTTAGTAGTAGAACTTAACCTGTTAATGCACAATAACGTATTTCTATCTTTCATTTTTAATGCTTACATAACTGAATGGTGCTTGTGTTTTCCAACTTCATAACTATCACATTTCACACCATAGATGGTATGTAAATATAACTGTTATACATGCTAATTCATCATTTACTAATGACGTTTTCGGTTGGTAAATCTGGATTCAATCTGAATTTACTCTAGATTTACTCTGCCAAATTTTGTTAACCAATCGAAAGTTTTTAGAGTACATCTAACATTTTTGTAGTTCTGTTAGTGGGCATTTATATTTTACACGAGTCCATATAACGAACCATATCACACTTTACTTGTCAAGTCATATAAAACCGCTGTTAATTCTAAGGTAATCTTACTATTCTGGCAAAATATCTGGAGAGTTATGAATTAATCTCAAGTGTTATACATTTCGGTCGAGATTTACCAATCGAAAATGAAAGTTCCACTTAAAGTGAATTTCGATTTAAAAAGTTATCCCAGATTTACCAATCGAAAACGGCGCAAATATGCTTTACAGTTTTGTCTAATTGTTATTTGTATATATTTATTTTTTTATAGGCATAAAGAACGATTGGTTTGAACAAGTGCTTTCGAAATCGAGTAGAGGTTCATTCAGCTATAAAACTGAGTTAATCGAACGTCTATTAAATATCATTACTCTATCAAGTCAGCCCTGTAAGTAAACACTAAAATTTTACAAGATTTGGAAATAATAATAATGATGATTTTAGCTTGCCGCATACGTCTTATAACCATAGAAATTGCGCTAGAATTGCTGGTCACGTTCACCAAACCAGAAACTGATGAAGCTTGCATTACAGAAGCTCAACAGGAATTACTTTTTTCAGCGCGTAATGAATCAATGGCGGTACTTAGAAATTTCTATAAATCCGAGGATATATTTTTGGATTTATTTGAAGATGAATACAACGAAATGCGTAAATCAACTTTAAATGTGGAATTTCTGTGTATGGACTCAACAATATTATTACCGCCAACTGGTACACCGCTGACAGGCATCAGTTTTACAAGGCGACTACCATGTGGTGAAGTGGAAAAGGCCAGACGTGGCATACGTGTCTTTTTACTACTACGGAAAACGTGCCAAAAATTTCTTAATGAAAAAGAAACTCTACTGCCACTTACGAACCTTAACAGTTTAGTGCAAGTGGAAAATGTGCTCGATTTGAGTAAGACAATTTAAAAATATTAATTTAAAGAATAAATATAAAATGATTTTGTTTTATTTTTAGATAATAGCGACTTAATTGCTTGCACTGTTATTTCAAAGGATAATGTGAAACTACGTCGTTTTTTGGTTATAGATTCCTTGCAACTAATTTTAGTGGAACCGGATGCCAAACTTTTAGGTTGGGGTGTAGCAAAATTTGTAGGTTTTCTGCAAGATGTTGAAGTAATGGGCGATAAAGATGACTCGCGTTGTTTATACATAACTGTGCGTCGCGGTGGTGCCACACATAATCGAACGCCGTTGTTATCAGCAAAATTTTTATTTGATGATCATATACGCTGCATGGCTGCTAAACAACGTTTGACAAAAGTAAATTTTTTTTTTAATTATAATGTTTTAAAAATGTGATTCGATATAAATTTGTAGGGTCGAAGCAAAGCACGTCAAAAGAAAATGTATCAGATAGCGCAACTTATTGAAATGCCAGGACAAATAATTGATTCACCGGTATATGCTGTGGCGGGTCTACGCACAAACAGCAGCGGTAACAATAGTTCACGTAATGCACGTGAACATCGGCCCATATTCTCGACTGCCAATCGTGTGCCTGGTTTCGCTGCTGCCTTAAGACGTGATACTAATTTGGCGGGCGTTAGTCGTATACAAATCGCTCAGAATCGATCAATCGAAGGGTAAACAAATAAGATTTTTTGTAATATTGCTTCCTAGTAATTTTTGTGTTGTCTACTCATATTATACGTTTATATAAATTACAATATATACAACACTGGTTGTAAGCGATAGAAGTAGTAATAAAATTTGTAGTCGAAAAATAATATATATATATAAAGAACATATAACTACAATATATATATATAATGTGATTATTTAGAGTTTTTTAAACTAAATTTTTAGATTAACTTTCTAAGAAAAGTTGTACGAATTTGGAATGTGTTTAAATTAAGTTATATTACATTGTAGTTAAATTTAATAATTTTTTTGGAATGCTTATTTTGTTTTTGGATTGATTTCATTGTTAATGAAGCTAGTATAGTATTTGAATATGAATTTATATATTTTAATTACACAAATAATTTATAATCTATTTCTTATGGCTCTTTGTTTTTATTTTAACACATTTTATTACACATCTAATCGAAATATATTATATATCTCTAAGTTTTAGTTTTTAATTTAATCATTTTTTTAACGAGGACAGAAATTTTATTTCTAAATTATTTTATTTTTTGTGACAATAATAGATACATAATATAATATAATTTATTATGTATATATTATGTATAAATTATATATATAAATTATTTATATATTATATATAAATTAGATATAAATTATATTTATATATTATCTATAAATTATATATATTATAACATATATATTATAGATATATAAAATATAAATATATTGAGTTTGAAATTGCAATATATATTTTTGACATTAGTTGCATCTAAAATTTTTTAAAATGTTAAAGTAATTATTTATTAAGACAGTAAATTTTTTTATGCAATAATAAAATACTATATTCAAAGGTTATGAACATTTTGTCATATATTATAAATCGTTTGAATATTGTTATAATCAAAATATCAATTTTTAAAAGCGCTTTTTTATTATACAATTTTTTTTTCGATTGAATCGTGTAGAAAATGTTTTTATATTTGTATTTATATTTCCTACAAAATTTTTAATAATAATAATAATACTCAGTATTTTAAAACTTATAATGATAGATTGTTAAAAATTTTTTTTTTTGCAATTTATATATTTATGTATATATGCAATATATTTTTCATAATTTTTAAATTTTATTATTTTTTATTTTTATGTAACGTGAGAATTCTGATTTATACTATAAACTATAATCATTCTCAAGTATGTATCATCTGAGTTTTATCTTTATTTTTTCTCGAATTTTTCATATACTAAAAAATTATTTTAATATTTTTAATTAGTAAAAGATTTTTAATTTTTAACTTATTTTGATTTATTAATTAAATACGAATATTTAATATTTATTTATATTTATATTTGCCTTTAGAGAGGTTTCAAAATGGAGTCAACTACAACAACAATAATTCTTTTTATATTTTATGTATTGAATTTTTAGCTAATCACACAGCTGTAGCGAATATTGTCAATTGCCCACCATCATGAGTCTTGCTATTATTTCTTGTGTTTAATTATTCTTAAATAATTTTTTGAAACTATAATTACTAAGGGTTGAACTCGTGCCATGCCAAATTTGAAGCTTAGAGTCAGTGTTTATTACCCAACTAACCCAAAGCCGTTCTTGACATATATGTTCGCACTTTGGACTTTTGTTAATTTGCTGTAAAAGTTCATTAACTTCACTTGCTGTGTTATATGGTTGTAGTTCTCTACTTTTTGAAATCTGTCTACACAATACATTAGTTTCTATTAAGTGAAATAGTCATTTTCGTCATAACTGACGTTGAATTACAACTTTTATTTGTGTTTAATAAATAAATTCAAATAGACTATTATTTAATAATGTGATCAATAATAAAGTTTAGAAACAAATAAATTTTTTTATTGATTTCTATGTTATTATTAATTAGTTACATCTAAAATATTTGGTTTTGTAATATAATACATTTGTCCGAATTGTCAATGTTAAATAATAAACAACTTTTTAAATTAGTTTAAAAAACTATATTTTATTTGCATCATTATTTCGTCTATAGTCTAGAGTCATCTTTGGGGTACCATAGACTATATTTTATAATTATAATTTAAATTTATAATTTAAAAAGTTGTTTTTTATTTAACTTGACCAATCAGCCCATTAAAAGATAAATAAATAAAATTCGGTTAATAAAACAATAAAGTATAAAATTTAAATAAATTCCTCGAAAAAAGCTAATTTAATTAAATAAGTTTAATATATTTTATTATTAAATTATATATTTAAGTAATTAATTTTATAATAATATTTTTTTGGGACACATTTCTTTAATATTATTTTAAATAGATTTTTTTAAGTTTTCTGAATCATTTTCTTTTGTCTTAATTTTGCTTTTGATATAGATAATAAATTTATTTTAA